TTATGAGCATACTGCGCTTAGATTTGATTAGCCAACTTCGATGATCATCGTTACATGAATTATTAAACGTTTAAGAGGAAATAGGGCGATTGAATTCATTTTTTTAAAAAAATTTAATATTTCGGGTCGGGTTCGGTTCGGGTTGAGGCTCTAACCCGAAAATTTTCAACCCGACCCGTTCGGAGCACTATAAGTAGGTTTAATAATAGAATTTTTGATAATAAAATTACGAAAATTTAATGTGGACTAAATTCTATTTCATGGATTACTAGAACAGCGAGTCCTGCAACAAAACTTCACAGTAACTTATGATAAAAATCATGGTAATTTCAAATCAAGTGGACTCATCTTTACCACGTTATTGAATAATGAGCGCGTTTAGTAATAGAATTTCTATAATAGAAATTACGATAATTCTAATAAAAATTAACTCAACCTTAACCCTGTATGTTATCAGAATAGCGAGTAAATTCTGCAACAGAACTTTTACAACAAGTTACAATAGGATTCATGATAATTTTAATGCAAACGAACTCATCCCAAACCACATACTGTGTGTCACTGGAATAGAGAGTAAGCTTAGTAATAAAGGTTTTTTATAATGGAAATTATAATAGTTCTAATGCAAACTAACTTTACTATATACCATATGTTACTAGGATAGTAAGTAAATTCTATACAGATTTTCAATGCCTTACAATAGAAATTATGATAATTCAAATAAGCAATACAGTTGACCCTCTCAAAACCGATCCTGCAAATCTGATAAAAAATTAATCTACCAAGTCCGTTCCCGTTATATAAACTAATAGCTATGTTTACAAATCCGATAACCTCTTAAAACTGATACAAAACATGTCCACCATGCATACCGATTCTGAGAGGGTCGACTGAATTATTATTCTCGTGCCGGAGGCACGGGTGATACGCTAGTATAAAATAATAAAAATTAAGAGAGAAAAATATGAGACCAAACTAATGCTCGGCATATCAAATAAACAATACTACAGTATATATATATGTATGTACGTATATGTATAGTATTGGTTAATCTGCAATTGTTTGATGTCCGAAAAAAAAAAAATCGGGCATAACATCGGCCTATTCTGTCCTGAATTTTGGTTTCTCCACTAATCTATCCTTTGGGTAGAGTATCTAAAGTCTAATTCATTGCAACTAATAAATCTGCTTGAGTAAACTATCTGAGAATGTACAATATCTAATTCATTATTACTGATAAACCTGCTTGAATAAACTGTCTGAGAATGAATGTTGTCTATTTTATCAAAATTTTATTAGATTTATCAAAATTTGATAAATATTTTTCATCATTCCTCCAGAGTTGAATAAGTTTATAAATTTCCGAAGCTTTTGGCCGTTTTTCTGGATTATTGTCCCAGCATCTTTTCATGAGATCATTATAAAATTGTGGCGCTCCTTTGACAACAGCTGGCCTTAATCCTTTACAAATTTCTGTAAGAAGACATAAATCATGAGCTTTGTCTGAAAATGATAACTTTCCTGACGATACTTCCCACATGATCATGCCAAATGAGTAGATATCAGATGCCATAGAGAATCCTTTTTTGTGTAAAACTTCAGGTGCTATATACGAAATACACCATAAATTCCATCAGGTTTCATCAATACTTTGTTGACTGATTCTGAAAGTCCTAAATCACCGATATATGCATTTACGAGATGATTCTGTAATATATTTCCACTATGCAAATCACGGTGAATAATATTATTACTATGAATTGTTTGAAGATCTTCAGCAACATGTGATATTAAATTTAATTTCCATTTCCATTGCATTCTTGCAACTTCACAAATATTTTGACGCAAAGAACCCTTTTGTGCATATTGCATTATTAGAATGTAATCATTAGTTTTCTCATCTTTCGATACACCATAACATCGTAAAAATCTTGAATTTTTTCGTCCAATATCATAAAATACCCTTAACTAGAAAACAATAATTTAACAATTAAAAATGTATATGTTAATTAAATTCATCAAATTATCTACCTCTTTAACGAATCTCCCAGAATAATTTTGCGAACCATGAATAAGTTTAAGTGCAACATCTTTAGATGATCTGCCTAAATTCCATTTAGCAAAGTATACAGTTGCAAATCCACCTTTTCCAATTTCCTCAATGATTTGTAGATCGTTAAATTGAATCCATGGTAATGAAGTATATCTTAAAAATTCTTTAATAGAATTATCACAATTTGGAGTCACATGCTTGGTTATAATATTTTCAATATCATCATTTTTAAAATCGTTTTCAACGAATTCAACAGATTTATCTGACGATAAATTCCAGAGTGTTTTTAAAATAACATACGATATCGGACGTTGTTCAACGTTACAAGACCAACAGTCGCTATAGAGAGAAATATAACCAAAAGGTGTATTTTTAATATATTCCTCTCTATGGCCATTTAAAGTACTAAATATAATTTCATATTTATTATTAATATTGTGGAATGGGGGAATTCCACTTGTGAGTTCCCAGAGCAAAACTCCTAGGCTGTAAATATCCGATTTTTTTGTTTTTTTGAAACAAGAATCGATGAAACAATGAGGGTCAGTGTATGCCATCATTCCAGCAAACTCTAAATTTTCTAGACTTGAGGTTGAACATAAATTCATTGACAATCCAAAGTCTGAAATTAAAACTCTACCATCATTTATCAGAATATTTTTTGAATGCTTAATAATTTATTATTATATGATTATTATAGGGCTTTGAGTCAATAATAAAATTTAATAGATAAAAGAAACCTACCAGGTCACAATGAATTATATTACTTTCATGTAAATACAATATTCCATCGGTAATACCTATTGCAATGTCGAGAAGTTCATTCCAATGGATTTTATAATGACCGTTGATTCGTTTTTTTTGTAAATATTCCCGTAAATTACCATTTTTTGCATATTGTAATACCATAAGAAATTGATCGTTTGGACCTTAATATAGTTAGAAACAAAATTTATTCATAATAATTTAAAATTTTAAACAATACACTCTACCCTCTCTATAACGGACCCATTAAACCGGATCTCTTATTATAACAGATCAGTTTATCGGAACCAAATTTTAAATGGGTTGTTGCCCAGCAAAACCATGCTTAAAGTTATATTTTTTATATATTCCAAGCATGGTTTTGCTGGGAAATAACCCAAATAATAAATCCCCCCCTGATATTACGGATATTTATAATATCTATACTTATAGCGGATGCGGATTAAGTTATTTAGTAGATAACATTTGGCTAATTGGCTATTAAATTAACTTGTGATATTAAATGAGAACAGCACAACCAATAAAAGCTCTAGTACGTGAATTTAGTGATTTAACCTGAACAAAACACCAGTTTGTTTTTTATTTATATATTATAATCAAAGCTCGAGATTAGGATTTTTGCATAACGAATATTTTGAAATACTGTAACAGAATTTTTTTGCATCCTAAGTATGTTTGAATATGCAAATTTATTTTTTGAAAAAGAGAAGATGTGCTATTTTTTTTTATAATGGAATTGTCTAATTGGATAAAATTTATGATATAATGAAGAAAGGATTTATTATTAGTACTGTATAGGAGAAGCCTCTTAAGAAACATATTGATGACTCGATTATAATATCTTCAAAAATTAAAAATCCGAAATAAAAGTATTAGAGACTTTAATTGCCAAAAGCTTTAAGAAGCATTGGATCAGAATGTGAACTTCGTTATATCGAGCTTTGACTATAGCTATATAAAATTTGATATTTTGAGGCTTTAAATAAAGTTTCAACCATTTAATCAAATAAAAATAATTAAATAATTAGAGTCAAGTTATAAATGTACGATTTACTGTATATAATTATCCAGTTATACGGATTATATATGATTTTGATGAAACCGCTATTACTATAGCAGTTTATATTAATAAATCCGTTATAATATGATAATAGGTTTTTATTATAACGGACAGAATTTCCCAGCCCGAAGGTCCGTTATAACGAGAATAGAGTATAATTATAAGACGATGAAATACACGTTACTCTGGGCATATATCGACAATTAGTAAAAATAGATTCAAAATGAAAAGCCTGTCAACGAAGTGATAGGGCGATCATTATTGCGAAATCAGATGACTTTATGACCGGTCATATTACAGG